CGAGTCAGTGTAGAAGGCAACCTGGTTTGAGTGTTTGGGGGTAACCCCAGAGCCTAAGAGGAATATTAAAGTCACCCCAAGGAGGATATGGGTGGTCGATGGAATGGAGTGCAGGAATTTGCCAAGAGCACTAAACAAAGAGGACGTGACTAAGGGGGTTGTAAAAGGACATCAGAGCGAGAGAAATACGGGTAGATGGTTGGTAATAGACCACACCAACTAAATGTTTCAGGAGGGGGGAGGGTACGTTTAGTGGTTCAACGAGAACGTCATTGCGTACAGAAATGGACGCAAGTGGCTTTCCCGTCGTAGCGTGATATGCACGGTAGCCCGGGACGGCAAGGGCCGCCCGAGTCTGCTGTATAAGAAGAAAATGGGCTAATGTTTGGCGAGTGAGAAGATATTGGTGGAGAGGGGTCCTATTATGACGAAACATGCGGCAGTTTCACTGCAAAATATCGAGGTCCTTTTCACGCGCCTTCCAGGTCTTTGAAGTAGAGAAAGCACCTACTCGTGCGCGTTCCTTTTTTGGCTGGGGGAAGCGACTCTTGCAAGGAGTTAAGCATATAGGTGAAAGATTCCAGTTGCTTAGATTGGGTTTCGAGGGTCGTAAGAATCCGGACAATTGAATTTTCCAGCTGGACTAAACGAGTGTGATGCGCAGTGGTGATGGTTTCGACCATGTCGGCCAATTTGGTTACATGGGAGCTGGAGGTCGGGGCGGTGAGTGTGGTGAGTTGCTTATTTAGCTCCGTGAGTTGAGAGGTAAGAGAGGATGTGGTAGTTGCGAGTGTCTGCGTCAGTGCGAGTATTTTCTGTTGTAGCTCATCTGAGACACGTTGTTGCTCGCGCTGGTTGCGCTCCAACATAGCCAGTCGCAGATCGAAGGAGAGGTTCTCGTTACTTAAAGATGGTGAAGGTGTGTTTGATGAAGAAGTGCACATGGGAGGTGTTCCCTTCACCTTAGCGGTGTATGAGCCCGGGGGGGGGGGGATGTTGCGGGAGGTGATAGGAACTCATGTGCTGAAGAAGAGGGTGATGAAGGCTGAGTGGCTCGGCGCATGGCTGTGCGACGGAGAAAAGCTGCTTTGGCGCAGTCGCGTTGCTTAGCTAGAAGGTAGGGGCAGGTGGAGCCGAGAGATGAGTGGGTGTTGACTGGGCAATGGATGCACCAGGGTTGGGCGCAAACGTGAGCATGGGGATCTGCTGGTAGAGGAGACGCACAGCGGTGGCACTTGGCCGGAACGCTGTGTTGGGGGCATTGATGAGCACGGTTCCCTATAGCAAGGCACCGAGTGCAAGTAGGGGGCTTAGGTTTATGTGGACGGCATCGGAAAGGGACGCGTTTGAAGTACACAAAGCCAGGGATGATGGTTCCAGCAAATGTTATGAGGACGGATTCAGTGGAGCCCATCATACGTGCAACGAGTATATCTGAAGTGAAGGATTCGAGGTCATGCAAGAGCTGAGATGTTGTGAAGTGACCACCGACGTTGTGTATGACGCCGAGACATGATATTGGAGGACTGGGTGCATAGGGCTTAATGGTGATCGGCTTACCATTAAGTTCCAGATTTGTGAGGGAGAGTGCGAGGTGGGCAGTGAGAGGTGAGGGCGTTTTCAGAAACACAAGGCTCTGAGCAGGTTCGGCTTGAAGGATAACCTCCGCACTGGTCTTGGGAGAGAGATTTGCGGCGGCTATGATGTTAGAAAGCAGGTCATAGAGAGGCAGTTTCGGCGTGAGTGTTCCAGGTGGAAGTTGGACTCCGAAGGTGATGAGCTCGGAGGGGGGCGGGCGGTCGAGGCAGGTTTTCGATTGGCACTAACGGTGTTCCAGCTGCCTTCAGGAGATGACGTATTGTCTTCGTTGACCTGCGATGCCGTGAAGTCCATTTCCGTCGATAAGTCGTCAGCTGAAATGATGGAAGGCAAAACTTCGGCGATGGAAGGAACTAAGCTCGTCGAAACGCGCTTTTTCGACAGACTCGGAATTTCCAATGGTTAGGCCAGACGCAGATAAGGTGGGGAGAGCAGCAGGCGTGGTTGATTGCAACGCCAACGCTGCATTACGGCTCTCGGGCTCCGGCGTTTGCGTGGCTATCAAGCTGAGAGTAGCAGAGACGCCACCAGCGTTGCACGTTGCTGGGCCGTGCGCGCTGTTGAGGAACGCTGCCTGTTGCTGTATTGTTGTCGGCGCGGGGCTGGTGACATCGCCAGATGTTGACAGCGGAAGCACGGCTGTGTCATCGGTACGACCGGAAGAGGCTGGGCTTACCGACAGGGCGTCAGTTGTCGTTGGTGTCGAGTGCTGGGCGGGACGCTGTATCGTGGAGGTGCAGGCGCGGCGCCGCGCCGCTTCGTACTTTTGAAGGGACCTGGAGGGCCAACCTGGGGTCGGACCGGGGCCCGGATGGTGCCGGCGTGTCACAGGAGTCTTCTAGAAGGAATAGTGAGCTTGTCCAGACACGGGCGGGGCACGGTAACGGGCCAAGAACACGTGAAAGCGGAGCACTGTATGCGGCCAGCCAAACAAAACGGCGCCACCTGGCGGTCCTAAAAAGAGGTATAAAAAGTGCCCAAAGCGCATATTTAGGTTTTTTTAAACACCAATTGGAAAAATAAAGTTGGGGCACGGCGATGCCAGGGCAGCGAGTCGACAGTCGTCGTGAATGCACAAGTTTTCGTCGTGAACAGCGCCATGGTCGTAACGCCAACCTTGCGTGACTTGTTCCAGACCAGATATGGTTGCGTCTTCGACATTCGTCACGTCGAGTACATTGTTCTCAAGTATGCCAGGATTACTATGTGTTTTACAATGGTCGGTCTCAAGTACGTGAAGGTGTACGACAGCCACAAATCAATGACTGCCATGCTCAGGCGCTGCTGGAAGCAAGGAGAGCAGCGTGTAAGAAATTACGTGCTGTCCATCAACTGCGAAAGCCCGCTCAAGAACGTTTCGACCGCAGACCACAGAAGGAATGCAAGGGGCGCAACTGTTCCTTCGAGGGTGATGGCTACGATAAGGGCAACTTGGCGCATGGCGATTTTCGGGACTACTTGCCTCACTTTCACCATACGCCATCCGGCAGAAAAGACACATATAAGGTTCGGCTGGAGGAATCCCATGAGGCTTATAAGCCTGGCTCAACACTAGAATCACCAGCAAACCGTATAAATCGTCCCGCTAACGTAGCTTAGTTAGGCATTACACCACTGAAGATGTCGGAACAGCGATCCCGACAAGCTCAAGCACTTCGCACCGTTCCACTGCTTATCGACGGATCGAGATATCTCGCTACGACACCATATCTCCGCCTTGGGGCTTTCGAAAGAACATGTATCGCAACGCAAGGTTCGTCATCGCCAACACCTTGCAGTTGGCCAGCGGTAAGTAACATGCCAGCGACCCGCCCACCTATCTTTGTCAGGCCATATTGCTACCAGCGGAAGTTTAACCTTAGATACGTGTTATTCATCTTGGGCCCCCTGAGAGGATGTTGCAAAATAATAACGGAGGAACTAGGAGCGTGCCGCACTCTATCGAAGAAGAGGAAGCAGAGGATGAATCGGGGCACGTGGTAGGGGCAGTTCGCCTCTAGAATCGGCAATAAACGGACGTCTCTCTTTCACGTTTTTCACGCAAGTGACAGGGTCTGTCACTTGTGTTTGCCATAGAATCATGTCATACCATTCCAGTTTTGCAACATGCCATGTGAACGAAACCGCCGCAAGAGCTGCAGGACCATGAAATGTAAATCATGACATTCATGACATCCATGTCATGATTTTCATGTTATGACTAATCAAATATGTTCTTCACACGGTCATGTTATGCCATACCAAGTTTGGTATCGATACCAATATCGGAACGGCAGGGAGAGCTATAAGTCACAGGCGGCTGGATAGACAGATAGATAGATAGATAGATAGATAGATAGATAGATAGATAGATAGATAGATAGATAGATAGATAGATAGATAGATAGATAGATAGATAGATAGATAGATAGATAGATAGATAGATAGATAGATAGATAGATAGATAGATAGATAGATAGATAGATAGATAGATAGATAGATAGATAGATAGATAGATAGATAGATACGCTCAAAGTCACCGAAGTTCGCCAAGAAATGCTTCGCATTTGAAAGACATGGCCTAGTTACTTGACTAGCCACAGTCTTTCGCCGATGACACTTTGGAATTAACGAAGTGTCCTTCCACTTGAAAGTCCTTAAAAGCTCGATTTAAGAACGTCAGGTGCCCCATAAAATCTGTTTCTTATCGATAACCAAGCCAAATCTACGCACCACTTAGGCTTAGCCTCGTAGCCACGCATGCACTTAGGAACAGCCGCCTTCATGTCAAGCATACTGACGGAGACAGTCGGCGCAGCCACCGCGCCGGGTTTGCTCGGTGTTACGCAAGCCGAGCACGAGGGACGAAAAGCCGCGCTTTTAACTGGGGAGCTATATAAACTTTGTGCGTTAGTTTCTGGCGCTGGAGTTCGGAAGTTCTTGCATGACTTGTGACAGGCTGTTTCTGTCTGTGACTTGTGACAGGCTGTGTCTGTCAGGCAGGATATGTCTGCCTGCCTGTCACTCACACTAGTACCATCTGCCGAGTTAGTCAAACAACTAGGTGGTTATGGCAGGTCACAAAAAGACAAGCATGGACAGAACCACGGCTTTAGGAGATTCGTCTCTAAAGAGGTATATGACCTCAAACGCTCGGCTCAGAGCAAAAAAAAAAAAAAAGCAGCATAGGCTCTTACTCGCTCACTACTTCGCATGAAACCAATTTCCACATGGCTTGAGATCTGCTGAGTATCCATTTTGTAATCGTATAGGTGTCCAAATATGTACGGCTATAGGTAACGCCCCTCTCATGACGAGATCTTCGTATAGACGCCGTTCCGTTAGCTTTTTAGTGATTTTGCAAATGTAGGCGACTTGCTGTTGTTGCTTTTACACGCTTGGTCGCTTCTTTTTGCCTACAGCAAAGCCGGTGGCCACGGGGCAAAGTTCTGGGCGGCTCCAGTGTTCTCAACTACATGCTCTACATCCGGGGTAACCGGCGTGACTACGACCGCTGGGAGCAAGAGCTAGACTGCGAAGGCTGGGGTTGGAAATCCGTGCTGCCATACTTCATCAAGTCCGAGGACAACCGGGATCCCGGAATCGCGCACAATGGTAACAGGCACTCACCATCTCGTCTACGGCTGCTCTCTAAGGAAACTTAGCAAAGTACTGCACGTCACTCTGCCAACCATTCTGTGTCTCACTGGTGAACACGGCCAAATACTGAAAGGATTAATGATGCGCTGAGATGCAAAGCCTCTTAGATGGGTGGGTGTAGTTGCCGCGCTGATTATGTGTTTGGGGGGGGGGGGGGAGCTCTACCATTGCTGCCGTCTGTTACTCATAACGCTTTAGCGAATTTCGGCACGGGCATGGGGGACTCTTGCAAACTGACAGGAATTACTGTTTTATTCACTTAGGTCTCATAGCCATCATTCTGAATGCGTTGTACACCTTTTTCCTAGTAAAATGTGTAAAGAAATAGGGTGGTACCCGTCACTGAGCGTTATATTTTTTCTATCAAAAGCCGTGCGATGACTCTGCTGGCTCATGCTCGTGAGGGGTTACCGTGCGACTCACCCAATGATTACGTCATCCCTCCGGACCTCCTCATTTGTTTCATCACAGGACTTCAAGTTGGTGTGATACCGAGAGAATGGGTAGATATATGCACAACATGAATAGCGATGTGTTTTTTATAAGCATTACATAATTCAAAGCACCAAGCATGCAGACGATCTGGGTCGCTGTTCGGCGATTGGCATTGTGCAAGCTCAGACGACTCAGAAGCAGCTTTACTCATTTCCCTGATGTATCAAAGTGTTTTGAAGGTGTACAACACTTTCTGTTTCAATCGTGTGAAGTGATCATTTTACTCAAGAACTGCATTGATTGATTGATACGTGAGGTTTAACACCACAAAACCACCATATGAATATGAGGGACGCCGAAGTGGAGGGCTCCGGAAATTTCGACCACCGGGAGTTCTTTGACGTGCACCCAAATTTTAGCACACGGGCCTAGAGCATCTTCGCCTCCATCGCAAATGCAGCCGCTGCAGCCGTTTTCGATCGCGTGACGTGCGGGTCAGCAGGCGAGTACCTTAGCCACTAGACCACCACGCGCAGCCGGGCACGCCATTCGATCGTAACACCCTGCCAGGGGTGTCATCGCAACTACAAGCCTCGCTACCCCGCTTATTTCCTGTGAAGATGGCACATCGTACCCATTCTAGTACACCATACCTACCCTTCATCGTCGCCCCCCCTCCTCACAACAAACTACCGAAGGCAGCACAAGCACATGAAACAGGTGGACTGCGTGAAAGCCATCGCTTTTGACTTGTCACGAGGAGTTAGGCACGAATACCTGTCGGGCCTTCAAGAGACGCTAACGACAGAAACAATTTTTTTTGCACATCAGCAAATTATACAATGATAATTACGACATCTCAACACCTGCAACAGAAGAATCTTGGCAAGCAAGTAAATGCGCCACATCGATTCACTTGCGTTGACGTCTCATTGAAGTGCCCACTCGAAACAGCGTGAAGTCGAGCATTTGTCATGTTTTGTTCGTAATAATCAAACGTAAAGCACGTTGGCCTTTGGCAAGGCCGTGGACTACACATTCCAAGTTTCGGTAAATTTCGTGTGGACATGCCTAAACTACAACACTGAATTTCGTCATGTTATACGCGGGGAGATCTGGCTCAAAATTCAGAAATGAAGCTTTTTAACTTGACTTTTTCTTTTATTATTTTTTATTATGGTGAAACTAACGATATTAAGGTACTAATATTAGAGTTATACTCATTTTACAAACAGAGATGCAAGTTAATTTCTTATCCTTTCTGCAACTTGCAGGCTACCACGGCCGAGGTGGCTACCTCACAGTGTCAACTCCTCCTTACGTGTCTCCACTAGCGCACGCCTTCGTTGAAGCCGGGGAGACCTTGGGATACCCAAACATCGACCTTAATGGACCCACACAGACAGGTTAGCGCAACTGTACTGCCAGTAATGAAAATTAAGACAATCACAACTAGACTATGCAATTGCATTTCCCTCTTTCCGCACATATGTTACTCTACCTCGTTTCACTGACAGAAAACAAAGGCCGGTACGTGTCAGCACCAAGGGCAACCGATGACGTTTGGACCTCCTAAAGCATATGTGATCCAGCAATAACTTCTGGTTTTAAAAATGATGATACGGAAACAATAAGCCGATGATTCTGGTTGTTGAAGTTAACGTTGATATTGAATACACATCATTTCCATTAATGACATTACTTCAATGACATTACTCAATGACATCAATGACATTACTTTACATCAATGACATTGCTTCAAATAAGGTTCCATAAACTGTGAGGATGATCATTTATAATGATTTCTTCGATTCATTAAGATATTGTGAGCAGGTGGGGTCGTTTCATGAACTGGCAGGAAATATCTCAGCCACGCGCTTCCTTACGCGTGGCCTCTGATATCCGCATCGCCGGTGCGCAAAACATAGTTAAACCAAGGCATGCCCAATAGAGCACACGAGCGTCGACATGCTAGTTCTGATACCAGGCACTCAAGTACAGAAGTAAAGACACCTTCAGAACATTAGTATGAAAGCTACCATCATTTTTTTCTAGTCAGCACGAAAACTTTAAAGGGACACTAAATAGCAAAACGATTTTCGCTTTCTCATGAAAAGATTTTAACGAGCACAGAAAATACAAGAAAAGGACAGTAGATAACTAACTCTCAACTAATTAATTTTTGAAAGGAATAAAGCATATGCGTACCTGGGGACCAACATAGAGCATGTACATATCATGTGACAGGCAACCATAAAAAATATGGCTAAAAAGAATGAGAAAACTATACTACTTATTGTTAGAGTCACCGAAGGTTGACTGATACATTTGTTTGCACACCCATAGATGAGGAAGGCTTCGATGAGTTCACGTGGTAATTTATCTCTATGTGAGAAAAAAAAATGTCCGTATCCCAAAACACGAGATCAAAAAGGCATGATTTAGCATGATCTGACCAGCGTGAAAATGTTCATTTTCCTAGTGATTTCGCAGTCTATTTTAATCGTGTATTGATGCAGCGGCCAGTCCCTGGAAATATGGAAACGTGTACATAGGACAGACTGGCCTCTGCATCAATATTCGACTAAAAGAGCATGCTAACTCACTTGGAAAAGAAACATTTCACACTTGTCATCATCATCACCACGACCACCGCCATTACCACCGCTACCACCACCACCACCACCACCACCACCACCACCACCAACACCACCACCACCATCATCATCATCATCATCATCATCATCATCATCATCATCATCATCATCATCATCATCATCATCAGCCTGACTATTTCCACTGCAAGACAAAGGCCTCTCTCATGTTCCGCCAGTCAACTCGGTCCTGTGCTTGCTGCTGCCATTTTATACCCACAAACTTCTTAATCTCATCTGCCCACCTGACTTTCTGTCTCACCCTAATCCACTTGGCGTCTTTGGGAATCCAGTTAGTTACCCTTAATGACCAGCGGTTATCCTGTCTACGTGCTACATGCCCGGCCCATGTCCACTTCTTCTTCTTGATTTCAGCTATGATATCCTTAACCCCCATTTGCTCCCTAATCCACTCGGCTCTCTTCTTGTCTCCTAAGGTTACACCTACCATTTTTCTTTCCTTTACTCGCTGCGTCGTCCTCAATTTAGGCTGAACCCTCTTTGTAAGTTTCCAGGTTTCTGTTTTGTAGCTAAGTACCCGCAAGATGCGGCTGTTATATACCTTCCTCTTGAGGGATTGTGGCAATCTACCTGTCAGGATTTGAGAGTTCTTGCGAAATGTGCTCCATCCCATCGTTATTCTTCTAGTTACTTCAATCTCATGGGTCGGATCCGTGGTTATTACCGGTCCTAAGTAGACATAGTCGTTTACAACTTCTAGTGCACTATTCCCTATCTCGATGCGCTGTTCTCTTCCAAGGTTGTACAATACTTTCGTTTTTTGCAGATTAATTTTAAGACCTACCTTTGTACTCACCTTGTCTAACTCGGAAACTATGCCTTTGTGGTCCTTTGTTCTGCGATACAGATATTCTTCTCACATAGAGGTAATCTAACACGTAAACGTACGGAAACCTTCCATATCAATGGATGTGCAAATAAATGTATAAGTCGACCTTTGGTGGCTCTAACAGATAGGGAGTGCGGTTTTCTAAATTCTGTTTAGCTATATCTTTTAATGTTTGCCTGTCACATGACTTGCACATGCACTGTGATGGTTTCCAAATACTTATATGCATCGTTCCTTTCAAAAATAAATTATTTGAGAGTTAGCGCTCATCTGTCTGTTCGTTGTTCTGTTTTTTGTGCTCGCTAAAAAACTTTATAATATGAATGCATACCAACTCACCAAGCTATCTGTTTTACTACAACTTCATAATCCGGTAAACCACACTATTACCGCTACATGACGCTAAGTAAGCGAGTAAACGTGCGAAAACGAAATGGTGGGGGCAACGCCGCCTTGAGATTCCCGCACCCAACATCGTGACGTAAGAAATTTTAGGACGTCTGCTGGATTTTATAGAGCTTCTACTCGATAAAAATGCAGTGCATTATCATCTGTGAGTGCCACAGACTTAGCATACGAAGTTTCACATTTTTTTATCGAAGCAATATCACGAAGTTATAGAATTTACATTTTGAAATATCTTACGTCACACAGAGAGACTTTGGTGCGAAATTCTAAATTGATACTTCAACCTTGATTTCTTTCGCTAACGATGAACCTATGGTGGTCCAACATATGGCATTAGAGTTCTCAGATTGCAACTTGTCAAATAACCTCAAATAATGGTTCCTCTTTAGTGTCCCTTCAAAATTAACTAGTACAGAATACTATGACTTAATTTATGCAATCGGACGAGCGAGTATTAGGCTGTACTTTAAATGTTTAATTTATTTAATCGCATGAAGGTCTCTTCTATTCAAAGTCAGTGACCTTTGTTCCCTATTCCGGATGCATCACATTTGTACGATTTATTGTGTGCAACATCACTTGTGGATATATTTTCGTGAAGACTCAGAACCAAATATGTTTCTGAGTAAGTGCTCTCAAATGTGAAATACAATGATACGTGTAATCTCTATTGTATGCCCAGTCGTCTCAACGCAAATTATGTGTGCTTATACGCAAGGATTTTGTGCGTGAGGGCTTACTTCACCTTTCAGCCGGCTTCGGCAATCACATGTCCACCATAATAATTCCATGAAATTCTCTCTTGCAATCAATACCAGCACGAGACGCTTATTTGGGTACCAGCCCAGCTATGGAGATATCACATGTAGTATCTTAAACCTCATTTTGTCTATTGTTCATACAAGAACATGTACATATGTTGCTCTTGTGTGACGTATTCACAGCAATATATCTTACTTGTGGAACTCGGGGGCTGATCGAGAAGTTTAATCTGCTCTCAGACGCTCAGACCAGAGGACGAATTGACAAAGGAATACTAAAAGTCATCTATTCGTTTGTGTTGTTTCTGATTGATCATCCGTTTTTATTATAATATGCCTAGTACCCCGGATGAGTTGAATTTGACTCTTATGCGCAGTTGTAGCTGTCCGGCTTTTCTGAACAAGGGCACAGTAGCCCAAGAAGTTCTGCTTTTTAGAGCCAAGCATATGGATGTCACGTGGTAAGCAATGCCCTGTTGTAGGTAATTAACTCAAGCCATATCACAAGCTTCAGTACAAGCGGTCTAAAACTGTCAAAATTTGTTTCTTCGTGTCTCCAGCTACCTTCGTGTTTGTAAGTGCTGTTGAATTCAGGGGACCAAGCTCAGATATAAGGACGTAGGCATCCTAGACTAAAAGGTGATACAAGACTCAATTGCAGTGAAGATGGTGGTTACTTATGTAGGACAGGAATTCTTTTAATCAATTAAACAATCTTTAATTTTTGTAACAAACAATGCAATATGTTACTGTGAAAACTAAGACACAAGATAAGAATGCTGTTTTCCCGCAGCATGACTAAGCTCTGGGTACCCTTTCAGCAGTAGCGACAATGACATCTTCCGGAACATGGATGATAATACTGAAGTTGGCATAATTAAGTCCATACAATTTGTTGACATATGTAAGCCCATACACGCATACAATGCATATTGCAACACCGAAATTTAACGTTGAGTCTAGGTCTTTTATTCGCAAGCTAATATTTACCTCTATCTGAATAAATTAGCCTTATTGGAATCGATACTCCTCTGTTAAATTGTTCAGCATAATTAGGCCACATGTATCTCCATGGTTTCGACTAAGCTTGACTCAATCATGCACAACAAAGTTTGCTTCGATCAGTCGTGCATTGAAAGAAACCTAATTAAGCTTAGAAAGGCCTAATTAGACTGGATCTGTACTCTACCCACTAGTATTACCACGAACTAATACAATTGGCATCTGATTAAAATTATTTGTGTTTATAAATTTTCACCTAATTAGTCTTGATTCGCTCGATTTATTTGGAACGAAAGGTGAGTTTTAAAGGCTCGTTTTTTTGTTAGCCAAAACATTATTGAGAAGTAACAGACAGCTGAGCGAGAAAAAAAGTATAGGGGACGTTAGCTGCAGTAACAGAGATGTAAATGAGAAAAAATATTAAAGCAGATGAAAAGATAACTTGCCCACCAGCAGGAACCAGACATAAAACATTCTGATGCACGCCCAATTGAACTAGGTGCTGCAGCTATGCGCTGCTCCGTAATATGCAACAGGCACTTGCACGCTGATACGGGTCCTAGGCTTTGGTACTTTGTATAGATTTAGTCCGGTACGTGACTGCACCGTGCACCCTCAAAACATGATTCCGCACCTGGTGCGCCATGATCGAGCGTACATCGTGTAGGTCATTCAACATCTGTGCCTGTCCTGTAAAATGTAACCTTGTTGCGGTGTCGTTGATAAAAAGCCGCAAACTTCTACACACAGGCTTTGCCATTCCTCAGAGCACCCTTAGACGAGGCGCCCGCTGCAGCACTGCCAAAGCCTTCTTGGAGCCAGGCAGGGGACGGCCTAACCTGCACATACTAGTCCGCGCTCAAGTAACCAAGGTAACTGATGATTAAGTAACCAAGTAACCATAACGAATGCTCTTTTTTTTTTGGACAGAGACTTTATTGCTTCTATGGGATGTGGGCTAAAATCAAGACATTCTGGTTCTGTGTTTGGAGCATGGCGGAAGCAGATCTCAGAGGCCACACAGGAAGAAGCACGTGGTTGGAATCTGCTCCACTAGGCGCCGCCGCGATACGAACTGCTCTCAATTTGCACATGAGCTCAATATTTTTTTAATACTCATGATCACTACTATTCAGCCTTTGTTTTCAGTGAATTTATTATTCCCAATGATGCGTATGGAGTGAAATTATTACCTTGAAGCTGAATTCATATTTTTAGACTAGCTATTCTGCATGTTTTGGAAACCCCAAAGAAGTGCTTGCAACAGTGACACGAGTGCCACAAGGTGTTCGTGCTACTGATAAGTAAAACACGTTGCATGCAGTTCTTCACCCAGATCTAAAATGCTGTCGCAAGCGTTTCTACGCACTTTGACCTTGATCGCAGTTTTATTGTTACAAGTGAAGTGACTGATGTTCTCAGCTGATGAAAATGTTACGTGCTCGAGCACCCATAATTGAAATTTTTACTGCAACCAGCTCGAAGCGTCTTTACTCCCTGCATTTGGCTTAGTTCTAGGCGTTGTCTTAAAGTTCCTGTATGTACGCATGTGATGCAAGTAATCATAGTTTAGCAAATCATTGGACTCTACAGGCATACTATTCCACCACCTGTAAACTTTATGGGATGTAGAATTCTTTTGGAATGTTAGGAAACAAAGCTTTCTTTATTCACATGCGTGTTGCTTTTCAATATTTGCGTCAAACATTTTTCACTTAAAATGTCTTACAGGCCCATTAAAGGACATTGAGTAAGGGGGGCATCAGTAAATACATTGCAAACCAATATTGACAAAAGGTAAAAAAAGAACAAGGAAACAAACAAAAAAGGAAACAAATGAAAAACAGCAAGGCGAACAAAGTTATACCGTAGAAAAACGCAACGAAGTCTGGTTGTCACGAAAACGTTCACGGTTGGAGATGGATACGATGTGATCTGGAAGGCTGTTCTTCCAATGTGCTATGGCTCGAGGTAATGGTGATAAGTTAAATGTCAGTGTGTGACCATGGATGCGCAGTGAAACTACGTGCGTTGTGAATGCGTCGAGATGTGCGCAAAGGGAGATGGAGTGACAGACAGTGGAATTTATTACTGTAGATGTACTTATGAAATAAACATAAAATGGCGATTACGCGGCGTTGATCCAATGGTGTTATTGCAAGGTCTTGTTCTATTAGGGTGATGCTTGAATAATAGTCGTAGTTACTAACTATGAATCTCGCTGCCCTACTCTTGACGGCTTCCAACGTACGGACTAGGTAATCTTGATGCGGTGACAATGTGGATGATGCATACTCTAATTTTGTACGAAGATAAGTTAGATACGATAATGCACGTATGTTATAAAGAGCGTTGCGTAAGTTTTTGCGCAGATAACCGAGAGACTGTGAGGCTTTTGAAGAAACAGCTGATATGTGCGTATTCCAAGATGAGTCTGATGAAAGGTGAACACCGAGATATTTATATGATTTTGTGGCTGGAACAACGGTGTTGTCAATAATATAGAGAAAATATGAGTTACCACGCTTTCCGGTGAATGAGATTAACATGCATTTAGAGGCGTTAAGGGACATCTGCCAGGCTTCGCACCACCTATATAGGTTAGAATAAGGTCATTTTGGAGAGCGGAATGATCATCAACAGATTAAATATTGCGGTAGATGACGCAATTATCTGCGAACAACCTAACTGAGAATGAAAGGTTATTGGTCAAGTCGTTAATGTATATTAAAAAGAGTAATGGACCCTGTACACTGCCCTGGGGAACGCCAGACGTTACATCGCAAATGTTAGATGAAGTGCCGTTACCCACTGTATTGCTGACGGGATGACAAGAAGTTACGCATCCAGGAAAGTGTTAATAACTCGATGCAGAGAGAAGAAAATTTAAACAATAAACAACAATGAGGGACGGTATCAAAAGCTTTGGCGAAATCTGGAAAGATGTAATCTCTTTTATCATCGCTGTTCATATTAAAGTGCAGGTCAGTGGTGAATTAAAACAACTGTGTGTCACAAGAGAAGCCTTTTATGAAGTCATGCTGATTAGAGAAAAAGAAGTCATTTGATTCAAGGGGATCATAGATATTTGACGCTATAATATGTTCAAGCAGCTTGCAAGATATGCGTGTTAGTGAAGTGGGTCAATAGTTACGGGACGAGTGCCTGTCACCGGATTTGAAAACGGGGACTACCTTGCCAATCTTCGAGTTCTTAGTCTGTAATAAATTTACAAAATCATTGTAAACAAAACAGAACAACTGACAAACTAGATTTCCAAACTCCACAAGCATTTAGTTCCACCTATTTGAATAAAATGATAACTTTTTGTAGCGTTGAATATTTTCGAAAGCAGTCATCTTCATCACTTGGTGATGTACACAAAACTCTTGCATCAGGAATTTTCCGGAAAGTGGACATTAGCTTGCATATTTCAAAATATCTAAGCCAGCAGTTCATAGCGGGGTCTCCATTCTCCGAAGAAGGTACCACTTCTACTATAGTGCTGTTCTATTCGTTCTCTGGGGAGAACTTGGGGTCATTGGGCGATCTCCAAACAAGCCAAACAAGTTGAGTAAGTGACACCGATTTTGTGCTTGCGTGTACGACGGATTGTCGTCAAATTTCTTCTTGACTAAGGTAATCGCAAGCTTTTTTAACGATATTGATTGCTCTGGACGCTGTGAAAAGCAACACCGTCAAACTTTTTTGACCACTTTCATAGACAGAGTAAAGGCCAACTCATAATTCATTGTGTGAAGGAAAGGCACGCTTAAGTAAGGACTGTTATGATCGAGTAGGTATCTTTTTTGTGTTTGTGGTGAGTATTTATGTGCGAACTTGAAATGAGTTTAAATTGAACATGAACTTGAACTTGAAATGAAAAAAATCAGTTCTTTATACTCACCAATAAATGCTCGCCAGATGTCAGTGAACAATATTTGCACGAATATCTGAACGCATTTCGTTTGGTGTGACCATGGTCGCATGCCTGTAGCGTACCATATGTTAGCTAGATAACCCCAACGTTTTGCTTCCGAATGTTATACATTCGAACATTTCCGCAGAGACATTTGCCTCTTGGGCAGACCTCTGTAACACGCAAAATGAATCAACATTAAAAACTAAGCTAAAGACAAAGTACAGCATGATCAGTGCTCATCTTGTACTGCGTCTTTCATCCCATACTTGATGCTGATTTATTTCGCAAATGTTACACCAACTTGCCTAGAGAGGCGCACTGAAACACGCGGCCCACGCACCGTTCTCCAGTGACCCCCTCTGCACATTACTACCTTCCTTCTACGCTTCATTTTTTCTTGTTGGCAGTATATTCATAAACCTTTACCCGCAGTACACGGCTGTCTGCATGCACAAGAAAGGAACTTCCTGGGCAACGCCGACGAATGAGTTTCTGCTCTAATGCCTTGAATCATGCTGTTATATTTAGTATTCAAAAGCCTAGTGCTCCGAAATGTTGAAGTCGGCAGAGAAAAAAGACCGCCCGGTATACATATGTTTCTCGAATCCCCGTGCAAAATCACTTTGAGATGTTCAGAAATTGAGCCAATACTTGAAGCATGCGAACGCTTCCTTTCAAATATTAGCTGACATGGGGTTTAACGGCATTGCCTGCTCTACCTTCTTTTCCCTAAAACCTTCTTTACTACCCCAGCCTTCGTGGCACGAAGTTAACCCTTTTGGCCCTGCCGTCCTTCAAAAAGGACAGGAAGAAAGTTTGCTCCCAAATGTGACAGAATTAAGTGCGAAATTGAAAAAGGTGTTTGAACTATCCTCAGTACACCTGCGCAAGCGTAGGTAGTAAATTCTTTGTCGTCTTCTTTCGAATTCCGCAAAGTTGAAAACAAAATGGCGGAATACAATAGCGATGACACTTGTCGCAACCAAATAATAAAATGCATCTTACTGCTTAACTATTATATCACAAGCTATCAGTTTTTTTTTTCGTTTTGTTTTCAAGATGTTTAACTTGCTATTCATAAAGTGGCTCTTCCCTAACACAAACATATCTCCCGCGGCCGTGAGCAATCTTCATCTGCTCAATATACACCATGACTCAGTGTTTGTAAGACCTGTGAATGCATTCAGGCGACTCTATAGGTGTAGCTTTTGTGAACGCTTCCGATTTCTTGCTATTCTAGTCGAGAATTCTGCCCAAATCAATTAGATAACAAGAAAGTGGTGCCTAATGGCAAGATAGTGCGTAATGAATTTTAATGCGTTTTATGAATTATAGTGTTTGTGCGTGTTGATCGAGTTAAAAGAAAACGACGATGAAGTGCAGTTCAATCCGCTTGCTCTTGCAAACATGGGCAGAAATATTTAGGCTCTGCAAAGCAGGATTCGGCAATCTTCTATGATGTTGGATCTTTCAAAGTGTTCAATAATTAGGCGGCGGCCATTCAAGTGAAATGAGGAGCTGTATCACGAGCGCTAAGACTTGCTATTCGGCAGTTCAGATGTTGTAACTAATACGTGGTTGTTGTGTGTTACTTTCACTATAACTTGCACTAATAGGGGTAAAAATAAATGCATATACATCAATTCACCATATTTCACTTTATAACCAATAAGCACTTGTGTCCAATATATTGGACATGGAGCCATTCTTTTTTTATATATTGAGGGGATGCTCAGAAAAAAGAACATTTTCATTCTCTTAAGGGCTTAGTAGCTCCAAATCAACAAAAATAAGAGAATTTCTGACAGTCGAAAATTCAGAACTGAAAGGGCCCAGGGACTGTGACCCGCTAGTTGAGGTGAAACCTCCTGCTTTGGGGTCCTACGAGGTACTTTCTAAAGAATAAGTCGTAAGGTTTCTAATGCATTCAGCTAATAAAATTCAAAGGTGAAAACCGTAGCTCTTTTTTTTTATTTTTGTTCCTTGTTGATCACACTTTTCTCCCAGCCCACGAAAGGTTTCTGCACTGGCGTGGTTTTGCAGCGGCTACGGCATAGGAGACACATTACTGCAACAGTGCCAAAGAGCTCGTTTCGCAGAAATTTCAGCGTCGGCGCGGGCGTCGTTAGTTTTCAGCAAAAAATCATCTTGTCCGTGACCGAGAGCTTGAGAAAGGTGAAAATAAAACAAATAATAAAAAATGCTAGGTCTCAGTTAAGAGCGAATTAAGGTCGTCTTCGTGCTAGGCAGTTGCTTTATTACAAAGCGACAGCATTGCTTCCAAGTAATTTGAAAAATAAAACTGTGTGTGAATGACGATAGCTATAGCGCGAGAACAAAACGAAGGCAAATGGACAAGAAGAAGACCCTTTGTCGTCGTTCTGCTCTCGCGCTATAACGATCGTCATCTCATACCAACTAGTCAAAACCACCACGCTTTTAAGTGTGTGAATGTCATGTAATTGAAGGGGTCTCCTTAAAGCATGACACATTGCGAGGCGGAAGCTTACAATCGCACCAGGCGGCAAAAAACCTTCATTGAGCAATGAGTGAGTCAAAGGCCCAGCGATTACAAGACGCTCACTCACACGTAATCATCAGCAGCACCACAAGCGTCAACGAAGTGAAGATCTGCGCACGTTTGTGTGTCATGGACACGTAGTGAACTCTTCGCTGATTCGTAAAAGAAATAAATATGGCGTAGAGGGAATTCAACATATGTTCTGGCAACTGTGCTTGCGTACTTCCATGTCCTTGCGGCGCCTGTGGAGAACCGAAGCAGTTTTGCACTTTAGTGGGCGATGCGCTGGAAACCCTATTACAATATCGCCCCTTGCTCTTTAAGGCGAAGCTCTGGCACCTTTTAATTTTTGCAAGCTCTCTGCAGCTAAACTGCCTCCACGACTCAACCTGGAAGTTATCTGATGATGACATCAATATTGGAGGAGCTCTTCTCAAAATGGGCTAAATGCAGAACCATAACTAACCCAAATAAGGCTTTACTGGCCCATACATATCCTGCAATTTCTTCTAAAACATTATATGTAAATTATTGTTAATAATTAGTAAGTTATTATTACTGATTAAGAGGAAACATTACAGTATGTTTGTGAGAATTAAGCTTTATTTGAGCTAGTTTTGGTTGTGAATTTAGCCCATTTTGAGAAAACAACTCTCATTTGACGTCCCACCGTCATCATAACATCTTTTTTTATCACTCGCGCTGATGCAAATGGTCATATTTCGCGTTTTCTTAGGAATCAAGCCTATAGCTAAATTGAATTAATGAACAAATCAGTTGTACTGAAACGCACTGAGTATGTTCAGCAAAGTTCGAACGGTTCGATGGTTGTCTTAATTTCAGGTCTTGTTCGACGAAAACCGAAGAGCCCGTTCGGTGCTGTTCCGGTACAGGAGACTACAGCGTGCCGTCAGAGCCAGGCAAGAGATCATACTTTCTGCAGGGTCCATCGGCAGCGCACAGCTCCTAATGCTCTCTGGTGTCGGCCCACGCCTTCATCTGGAATCACTTGGTGTGAGTAGGTTTCCATTTGATGCACTGAACTGGTCGCTTTTTAATCTTAAGAACATTTTAACAAGGCAAATCACACCCATCTGGTATCAATCGAGTGCCCAAAGTACATTCCATTGAATCATTACTGACTATTCAATGAAACTCATGACACGTATGTCATGATTTACATCTTATATTCTTGCAGATCTCGTGGTTGTTTAGTTCACATGACATATTGAGTAACTGGTATGGTATGACATGACTGCATAGTGAACACAATCGGCCGGCCGTCACGTGGAAATCATTGCATGCATGTCATGTAATATATGACTTAACTGCCATACGCTTACGGGGCTCTCGCGTTCGTTTCGCTAGCTTTCATACACTAAAATTGGTATTACATGACGTGGATAAATGACGATAGTAGAAGACTGGTGCAAACACGATAATCATGACATGCGTGTAAGGTAAGAACATGACTACTATGTTACGCTCATGGTGCGCTCGCGTTCGCTTCGCGAATTTTCACATACCAAATTTGGTATTACGTGACGTGAATGGATGACGAAGGTAAATGATACGTTTCAAGATGATAATCATGATATGCACTGTCATCTAAAACATGACTACATGCTACGCTGACAGCGTGCTCGCGGCCTGTTTCACTAGCTTCCCGTATGCCAAATTTAGTATTATGTGACGTGAATAGACGACGAAAGTAAATGACATGTCGAAACATGCTAATCATGACATGCGTGTGATATAAAACAAGACTACATGCTACGCTCATAGTGCGCTAGCGGCCGTTTCGCTAGCTTCACATATACCAAGATTGGTATTAGGTGACGTGAACGGCTGTCGAAGGTATATGACTGGTGCAAACATGATAATTATAAAATCCGTGTCATGTGAGAACATGACTGCATGTTACGCTCACGATGTGCTCGCCTCCGTTCCCCTCGCTTGACATATACCAAATTTGGTCTAACGTACCTCGAACGGACGACGAAAGGAATGACGCGTCCTAACATGATAATCACGACCCATGTGTTAGGTGAACATGCTATGCTCATAGTGCGCTCGTGGCCGTTTTGCTAGTTTCTCATGTTCCAAACTTGGTATTACGTGACGTGAATGGATGACGAAATTATATGCCTGGTGCAAACATAACGATGGCATTCGTGTCATGTAAGAACATGACTGTACAGCACGTTCATGATGCGCTCGCAGCCGTTTCACTGGATTCACATACTTCAAATTTGGTATTACATGCCGTGAATTCACGACAAAGGTAAATCAAGATAATCAAGATAATCAATATATGCGTGTCATATGAAACATGACCAAATTCTACGTTCATAGCACTTGCTGCAGTTTCGCTAGCTTGACATATACCAAATTTCGTATTACGTGACGTGAATGGACGGCGAACAGAAGCTTCAGACGCAAAAATAATAATCATGACATCGATGTCATGTACAGCATATTTTACATGCCTACCACAGCTGGGGCTGGTATTTCAAACGTTATTTTTGTCGTCGACGACTATAAACAACATACTTGCATCTTATCCAGACATCTGAGTGTACACAACATTTCTACTTCTGTTTACTGTGTACTACATTCAGGCGCTTCGTAACAGGATGGTGAGGGGATTTTAAAATGACATATCAACCTGCTTCATTCTTGCTTCGAATATCATCAATTCTCACTGTGTGTGGGACCTGCCCAGTTTTATTGACCTGTGGTCACCTGGGTGGCTGTTGAACAGCATTCAATTTATTGTATTCGTTGAGATACCATATGAAATTCACTATGAGAATGTCTGCTTACTTGTTAATAACTTTTGTTACATGGCCAAAATTGAGCGAACCACTAATGAATACCATGGGGAACGCCAGGCAGACGATTGCCAGTCAACAGGCTCTAACTTTTTCTAACACCCCCCAAACAAACTCGCGCATCTTTCCTATATACGCCTGAACAGCCTCCTCTCACGCGCAGTGTCGTCAACTTTGCGATAGGCGACGTGTCACAGCACGCAGCTCGTCGATTGGTCTAAACTAAGTCTCGACAAGCAGTCGTGATGTCAACGTCGCTGATCACCGAGTTGACGTCACTGCTCGTGGAAGAAGGTTGGTCAAGCGCAGGAAAGATACGCGAGCTTGTTTGGGGGGTGTTAGAAAAAGTTAGAGCCTGTTGACGGGCCTTTTAAAGAAACTCTGAACGAAACGGTTGCCTCTAAGAAATCATCTTAAGTGAAATATTAGGTGCTGAAGTTGTTGACACAACAAGGCTTAAACTGGCGAAAATGATTATGTTACTGCATTATTGACATATTGCAGCGTCTAGTGGCCACGCCGTGAACTATACTAGTAAAGTAGAACACTTCAGAAAGGAGTGTGACAAACGTGCTAGCTACATAACTGCACACCCATTGGCTCCGCCAGACATGCTCCCGTAACGCTGCGTAGAACCATAACAAATTGCACTGGCAGCAAATGGTGCAATGCTTTAGCGTGGAGCACCTCTCAGTGCCTTTGAGGAAGGGAGAGAGTGGGATGCGACGATGTCAAGGGGAAGTAGAGAAAGGCAAGTCGCTGGTACGCTTGACCTCTTGGCCATCGACGCTACCTCCGCGTAGGCTAGAGTGCAAAGGCCGCGCCCTGAACACCCTTCCACAATACAGTCATTTCTTCAACAATATGTGAACTAAACACGGTTTACCGCGACACTCTCGCCTTCCAAGGGGCATGTTGACGCTTCCGCTGTGCATTCAATCACAGGTTTACTCGGTATCTCTGTAAAAAATGAGATTAATGTTCTCTATCTGCTTGTCTTTACTTTCAGAATCCCTTGGAACCTTTCGCAAGTGTTTTAGCATGATCTGAGCGAGGCCGAGGACGCATATCTGCCCTTCGTAGTAAATTATGACAGACTACGAACATTCACACCAGCTTGTGCTGCGGCTGGTTGGAGCATGTTAGCGAATAAGCAACGTTGCGCAAGTTACAAGAAGACGGGAGACCAAAACAACACGTACAAAGCGCATCAAACGAAGGATTTGATAAACACGAATGGCAACAAGTGAAGTAGTTCACCGTAGGAAAACAGCGCATGACCGGTTTGCCCGGTTTGTGCCAGTGTTCGCGCCTGTTAATGTTAACGCGCTGACTGCCCACATTAATGACTTTTCTTTTGTGTATCAACGGCAGAGCTGTTTAAGCTTTTTTTTTTATTTGACGGATAGTGCGAACTGAAACAAACATCATCATATAGCAGCACGCACTGGCCTCGTCCACTTCTTCATCTACTGCTTATCGTCTGCTTCGACCCCACAGCACGTTCACTAACTTGTCTGGTGTGGGATGCAATAAGCGTCATGGGCGGCTGTGTTAGCCGAATAAATATCACGTATTATCAAGGTACAACTACTACTGTCACTAAAATTACGTAACAAGGAAGACGAAGTCCCGGAACGTAATCTATGCAGCCTTTAGTCATCAGCCTACAATCATTTAGGATCACGTAACACGTACTCACGTCACTAAAAATAACTTAACAACGCGTTGAACCTCGTCACGTATAGTTTATTCGCGTAATATCATGTAACATCTAGCCAGCTGACTAAATAAGACGTAGCATCACGCGACTACAATCAATGTAACAACATGTAACCTCTATTCATATGCTTTAAGTTGCACAAAGTTCAACCATCTCACAAAAAACAAGCAACATCACTTAACAGCAGGAGTCGTGACTAAAATATCTTGACAGCAAGTCACATGACACATTCGCGCTTTATAGTAAACCACGTGATTAGCCACGATACAAAATTATAATACAGCTGCTCATGTCGATGACATGACGTAGCAGTACCTAACATTAGTCAGCTGAGTAAAATAAGGCACAGTCACGTAACCACCCATCACGTCACTAAATATCGCGCAATGTCACGTAACGAACATTCACGAGACTATTATCTGGTAACTTCAAGCAACAACTAGATACGCGACTGAAATGACGTCGTATCACGCAACTGGTGACGTGAGTAACATCAAGCAATATCGTGCAACACTCACGGGACCCAAATCATCACGTGACTTAACAAGTAATCACCTGATTTGTTTCTGAGAAAACCACGCAAGAGCTAGTCACGTGATACGTACTCGCGAAAACCACTTCACGGGCGCAGTGTGAGGAAGTGACCCCCCCCCCCCCAAAAAAAAAAGAGAATAATAGCCAAGCCTAGCCATAATTACTAAGAAGAACTTTGAATCTCTAGAAAAACCTTAGAGTTGCAATGAAAAACGGAAGCACTTAGTTCGAACAATAGCTCTGTTGTTGGTTACAGCCTCGTACTATTGGTGCAAACTTCGCACATGTTTTTTTTTCCTATAAATTATTGATATCTTTATTAGGCCCACTGCTTGATGTTTTTGCATGTGATGTTATTGTGTCCCGCCTTCTTGTAATATTTACAGAGCTGCTCATTCTAATACAGCTACCAGCCCGTATGATCTCTTAGTTCATTCAGATAACAGCCCTCAGTCACTACACTTTTGTTCCGTTCTCTTTTCCCTTTCCCAGATTCCGGTAATAAGTGACATTCCCGTTGGGGAAAACCTGCAAGATCACATAGGCGGCGCTGGCATCAGCTTCATGATCAATGACTCTGTGTCTGTTGTCAGAAAAAGATTCAACCCGAAGACGGCCTTCGATTACTTCATTAAAGGACAAGGTAAAAAAAAAAATGTGTTTTAATGGGAACAAACATCCCCTCATTCCCAGTGTTGGCGATAACGCGTTACAAGTATAACGCCGTAGCTTGTAACGCAATACTATTTCCAGTAACCCAATTCATACTCGTTACTATTTCGTAACTGTAATGGGTAGCGTAGTTACATTAACATTTTTTTCGGTAACGTAAAGTGTCAAGCTAATCGTTACTTTTCATTCCTAATCATTCCCGGAGTCTTACACACAGCTTTTTCGCCACGTAGGTGCCAAATTCCCCGAGCTATTCTTAGGTCACAACTACCTTTTTAGGTAACGTAAGACGATAACGCGTACCTTTGCAAACACGATAGTCTTCTTCGGGATACTTCAACGCGAATATTTTCGCCTGTTCTCTTGTCTGTTTGTTGGTGTTTGTCTCCGGATTTCACGGATTCAGCATCCCTGTGAAATTTTAAGCCATGCGCAAAGCCCACCCGTCTAAATCTGGTGTCTGCGTTTTCCCCTCACCCCCATATACTGCTAAATGTTGTGAAACAAAAAGCGTACATTACGCATATTTCAGGCTGCGACATCAATAGGTAACTGTTAGCCAGTAAGTACTTTTTTAGGATATGCACAGAAATGTAATCATAAAGACCGAACTGTTTATTGCACTGCGCTGATAATATGACCCTGTGAAAAAACAAATGGATGCTCGTTACGCTTCACTGAAAAAATTCAAATGCTTTATTTAAAACGACATGATCTGGTGCTTCCACCTCTGCCACCTTCCAGTGGCTCTGTGTTATAAAGAAACTTCCGTGTTTTCACGCTAATGCCAGATGGCGCCATATTTCACTAAGTGCGTGTGGACAGAAAAATGTCGTCTTTCGAAGTCCTTTACCGCGAATCGTAGAGATACAGGACAATATTTTTTGCTTAGCGCAACGAGTAACGTATTGAGTTTCTTTTTTTTCTGTAATACATACAAAGCTGCTCATTCCTTCGTCGGTTCCAGAAGCTCCTGCATCCGGCATATTTGCTAACCACTTCATCAAAGAATGTTCTCAAAACTGAACGAGGGAATGAAACTTCGGGCAGCGGTCAGCTTGGACAGTTTCTATGAAGGCTCACTCATCGCAAGCTTTCGCCGTTCAAAACCTGCACTGATCTTTGTGCAAACCTCATACACAACGAGAATGGCTGTAAAGGTCCTAAATTATATATTTCTTCATAACTGCTCAGATAAAAAACTGCCCCGTGGCTCCCTCTGACCAGACGAGTGCACGTTCCTGATCAAGAAATACACGGCGGCAAATGCAGTTGCGACTTCCAAAAAGCGACTGAAAAATTACTGTATAGTGACGGATTACATCCTATGACATGGTACTAGTGAAATAGACGAGAATGAGAAGAAGAAAAACAGGAGTATACTAGTCTGCTGCCGGCCTCTTATCTCACTGGTGCCATTGCACAGAAAGTAATCCGGCAGTATACAGTAATATTTCGGTCACTTTTTGGTAGGCACAGATGTAGGCAACAAAGAAAGCATTCATACAGGCCTTGTTAAAGCGAAGAAGAGCTTCACAAGCATGGAATGAGGCAGTCCCATTGAAAGTTGAGGTCTGTTTTACAATCCCCTAAAGGCCAAACACGTATGTAAAAGAGGTACGATTGTCTCTGAACTGCTTCACTGAAGGAGCATTGAAAGGTCACCTGTGTGGTGATGGCGCATGCCACGAAGAAGGGTTTGAGGTAGTGGCCGTCGGTTGATGTTCACCACTGGATGCGGTAACAGAGGTTACAAGCATTGTCGAATGTCATGCGAATGACCAGATCGTCGAGCCGGACAGTTTGACGGCCCGGGTATGTGCAGAGGTGACTCCTCCGAGAGAGGAAAGGAAGAGTTTAGAATCACTCGTTCACGCGGACAGTACAGAGTCGGACACGGACATCGGAATAATAAATACGGCACTATGCCAGTCTCGTCCTTATCTCTTTTTTCGCCAGTGCCATGCCATATTATTCACGATACCAACAAGCCCAACTTTCCCCCTTAACGATAACTTTCCACGTTATCTTTGTTACAAATCGCTCACTTTAGTGACGTCCTATATACAGCCACCCACAATGGTGTTCGAGTGGTCATAGCGCTCGACTGCTGATCTGAATGTCCAGGGATCGAATCCTGGCCGCGGCGCCCGCAGTTTCTGTCGAGGGGGAAATTATTCGAGGCCTGCGTAAGGGCACGTTTGAAGGCACGATAACGTGCACGAATAAGTGCACGTTAAGAACCACAGGTGGTCTAAATTTCCGGAGCCCTTCACCTCCGCGTCTCTCATAATTATATTGTGATCTTGGGATATTAAACCCCGATAAATAATATTATACAGGTACTGTTTGCACATACAAGCATAGAATGGCATAAATTGTGAGGCCGCCTGTAATAGGAGTCCAGAAATATCGGTACCTCACGTCCCGATTTTTACGCTACGAATTGTCTTCGAAGGTGACTGTAGTGCTAAAATTTAAATGTCCCAATTCATTTTAGTTATATCCGTGCTTATGCGTATGTTTCCGGCTACAGATTTAACATTCACCTCGCTCTTTATGTCACATGATGTTTTACAGAGTTGGTCAGCATTTATGCACATACTGAAAAATTTCACTGTCCAGCAGTTCCAGCAGTTGTCTTTCCCATTTTCCTTTGGTCACTTTACCGTGGTTTCTCGCGATGACGTCAGCTGCAACTTGGAGACCCTCACCAGGGATGAACTAGAGGACAGTGTGGCTTGTAACGCACAAACACTTCGTGCAATAGCACGTGATGGCACAGTGTCTCTAAGTAATACAGGAAGCACAACATTGCTGTTGGTGCTTGAAGAAGCCGCGGCAGTAGACGAAAAGCTAAAAAAATTGTTCAAGGGTGATTCTGTGGACCATTCTGATGAGACTTTTCAGTTTGTAATGTATTACAGGACAATATATTTGCGTTAAAAGGATTTGCTTCTTAAAGAAAGTAAACTGTGCATGAAAAAAACTGTGAACTGTAATCAATTCCAAATTTACTACTTCTTAGCTGTTACATACAAGTCTGACTCATAACCCCCTTTTGTTACCCGAAATATGTTTTGTTGTAGTATTAGCAATACGGGAATGTCGTAGCTTGATTGGCGCCAGGAACTATTCCAGAGCTGGTGCTACTCTCGCAGCCGCAGTGCGCTGATAATACGCGCGAAGTCGTGGACGTGGCATGACTATCTGTTTCGTCGTCCCGTAGTTTGAGTTGGCAGTAAAACAACCAAGATAATCAACGACCCGGAGTAACACACAAAACGATACCAAAAATGCAACAAGAAAAAGAAAGCAAGTGCAAATGCACCTATTATCGACAGCTGCTGAAGACAAAAGATGTAAAAAGCCTCTTAACAGCGGCTGAGTGCTAAAGTAACCATGAAACATTGGGCAACAGCGGCTAAGTGTTGAAAAGAAAACATCCTCTCACATAACGTATGACAAAGCAGGGGCCGCAAGTACATGTACCATCGCGTCAATAGTTGTAGTTTTTTTTTTTTTCGAAAAACGCTGTCGAGTCATCGATCTAATTGCGTTTGTACAATTTCCTTTAAGTCGACTACTCATTCAAAGAAAAGCAAAACTAATAATTCAGACCTCATATTAGGCTAGGCTACCTATGCAATACTGGGAGTCGTTAACCTCTACACTGTATTAAGATGAGATTCCAGGCTAATCATTGCGTTCGAGCACCCGCAGGTTTCGTTTATTTACGTTATTATGCATCTTCTGTTAAGCAATAGATTACCTACAGGGCATTCGCAGTGCAATCCCTGTTCCTTCAGGCACTGTTGCTTTATGCCATCTAGCATGAATATAATCCCACTAGCCCAACTTCTTATCAGAGTTAGCTATAAGTTCCGAGGGCAAAAAAAGTTGGGTTAAATGTTTCTTTTTCTTTTTATGTCAGAGTTTTTGAAACCTGCTGACTGTCCTGGTTTGGCAAAATATCTTCAGACACATCTTTGCTTTCTGCAGGTCCACTGACTGTGCCTGGGGGCGTGGAGGGTATAGGTTTTATTCGCACCAAGTACAACGCCCAGCACACGGATTGGCCTGACGTCGAAGTGCACTTCGTATCGAGCACTCCGGCAGCCGACGGAGGTAGCACTATTCGCCGAGTCATGGGCATGACAGACGAGGTGTGTTCATCACCGTTCGTCTGTGTGACATAATGTAACATCGCTGTGTCTGTATGGTGTGGATGATGGCCGCAGTGCAGCGAGGTACTTAAATAGTTATGTAGCGCCTCAATGCGCCGCTCGTCAAGGAAGAAGTTGGCATTTGGGCCGCGCGGCGGGTGCAGCCCGATAATAAAAAAAAATCAGTTCGAAAACTGAACGCTGTCAGGACTGGATCTTTCCCGTGTTAGCTCCGACAGTTAATGGTGACCCTATAAAGAACACACATACCCGATCATCCCGTGTGGATCCCGCCGGCTCTGCCACCAATCATACTGGTCCTGACGCCCAAGAAGACGCCAGACCTTGCGGTGCTGCAGTCGCTGCGATTCAACATGTGAACCTGCCACCATTTTGACCCAACAGCCCCAGCACATGGTTTCTGCAGGTCGAGGCGCACTTCCGTCTACGGCGAATCACCAGCCAACAGACCAGGCACTGGCATCTGGTATCCTGCTTACCTCCGGACGTAGCCGACGACTTGGCTGATATTATAGCGTCGCCGCACCCGAGCCATCCCTACGACACGTTGAAGGCAGCCATCGTTTCCCGCAAGTCTAAGTCCGAACACAGCAGACTCCAACAGCTTATCACGGCTACAGAGCTCAGTGACCGTCGCCCATCACAGCTCCAGCGACGCATGCGCCAGCTCCTTGGCGGCCCCTCCGCCCCTCAAGAGGAGAAGCTGTTACGTTAGTTGTTCCTCCAGCGCTTACCGCAGAGCATAGTCCCGGTCCTCGTAGCGGCAGGAGATGTCCCAGTAGACACACTCGCTGAAATGGCTGACCGAGTGGCGGACTACTCGCGGGCACATAGCCTCAACGCCGTTACCACACCGCCACCAGCCACCGCTGCAGACCCGGCGCTCGCGAGCATCGAGAACCGTTTGGACGCCCTTGTCAGGCGCCTCGATGACTTTGTACCTGCGAATCGTCGACCGTCATCCAGGTTCCAGATACACAGTCGCTCCTCAACGCCCCCACGTTCTCCGGAACTTCGGTCAGCCGACGCGCCAGCGGGACGTTTCATACTCAACCGTGTGCTAGGTACCATCGCCTATTCGGTGCCTCTGCTCGCAAGTGCACTCGCCCGTGCTCCTGGTCGGGAAATGCGACGACCGGCCACTGACAGCGGCAAATGGTACTGGTCGAGAGTCCATGCCGCCTTTTCTAAGTTTCTGATAAGATCACTGGCGCTTGCTTTCTAGTCGACACAGGAGCCCAGGTTAGCGTCATCCCGGCCTCGTGTGCAGATCGCCGTCGCAACGAACAGACCTGCCCACTCCAAGCGATCAACAATTCCGCCATTCGCACATACGGCCAACGCTCTCTTACACTTGACCTTGGACTACGCCGTACGTTCCGCTGGATTTTCATCCTCGCTGACGCCTCGCAAGCTGTTCTTGGAGCTGACTTCCTCAGTTTTTTCAACCTTGCTGTGGACATGCATGCTCATCACCTCATTGATCTCAACACCTGCCTCTCCATCAACGCTGTACTCTGTACTTCCTCGCCAACGGGACTGCGAGCTCTCACACCTGCTTCGCCGTATGCAAACATACTCGACGACTTTCCCAGCATCACGAAGCCGCACACCAGAGAGTCACCAGTGAAGCATTCCATCACTCATCACATTGTGACCACTGGACCTCCCGTTTTTACACGACCCCGTCGACTATTTGGAGAACGCCTCGCCATCGCACGCCGTGAGTTTGAGCACATGCTTGAACTCGGCATTGTGCGGCCTTCCTCCAGCAACTGGGCGTCGCCACTCCACATGGTGCCGAAGAAAGATCCTGGCGACCGGAGAACATCTGGGGATTACCACGCTCTCAATGCCTACACCTTACCAGACCGCTATCCACTTCCTCACATACAGGATTTCACATCAAATTTGGCTGGGTGTACAATCTTCTCTAGGATTGATTTAGTGAAGGCTTACCATCAGATTCCTGTAGAACCCGCCGACATTCCGAAGACGGCCATCACCACCCCATTCGGTCTGTTTGAATATGTGAGGATGCCTTTTGGATTGCGCAACTCTGCACAGACCTTTCAGCGCACTAGCAAAGAGGTCACGTGAGGTCTCAATTTCGTGTTTGTCTACCTTGATGACCTCCTTGTAGCAAGCTCATCCGGCTCTGAGCATGAAGCCCACTAGCGCACCCTGTTCCACCACCTCCATGATTACGGCCTCGTAATTAATCGCCATAAGTGCCTCTTCGGCGTCGCTACAATAAAGTTCCTAGGCCACCTTGTATCTCCAAAGGGTATCCAACCACTCGCCAGCAAAGTGAAGGCTATTCAAGACTTTTCACCTTCGTCTTCACTGAAGAGACTCCGAGAATTTCTGGGCCTACTAAACTTCCATCGCTGCGCCACATTCCTAAAGTCCTTGACTGGCCTATTGGCTAAATAGAAAAACCCGGCTGCGCCACTGGAGTGGCCCAAGGACACTGCATCTGCCTTCGGCACTGCCAAGAAGGCTCTGGCAGACACTACCATGCTCATACATCCCGTCCCTGATGTCCCAATTCGTCTCATCACCGATGCATCAAGCGTGGCAGTTGGCGCCGTTCTCGAGCAGCACGTATCCGGTTGGCAGCCCCTACGGTTTTTTCTCGCAAAACCTGAAGCCACCAGAGACAAAATACAGTACATTTACCCGAGAACTCCTCGCGGTATACCTCGCCATCAAACATTTTCGTTATTTATTAGAGGGCCGGGACTTTTACGTCGTTACAGACCACAAGCCCCTGACGTTTGCCTTCCATCGCAATCACAGCAATTATACTGCACGGGAGATCCATCAACTATGCTTTATTTCCGAGTTCACTGTGGATCTCAGGCACGTACATGGGCCGGAAAATGCTGCTGCTGATGCACTATCCCGCATCGATGCCTTGTCGACCCAGCCACCACTAGACATGGAAGAGCTAGCAGCTGCCCAAAGCAACGATCCTGAGCTGCATCGTCTTCGCTCTTCATCCGCGTCTCTATCGTTCACGGAGTGCCCGCTTCCATTTTCTACCTCATTAATAACATGCGAAACGTCTACTGGTGTCCCTCGGCCTTTCGTGCATTCAGCTTTTCGACGTGCAATTTTTGATCAATTGCACAACATGAGCCATCCTGGTATTCGTGCGACCCAGAAGCTACTCACATCTCGTTTCCTTTGACCAAGCATCAATGCTGATGTCCGACGCTGGGCGCGAACCTGCCTTGAGTGCCAGTGCGTTAAAGTTCACCGTCACACTGTCCCGGCAACATCCCCGTTTCGGCCTCCAGACGCAACATTTTCTCACGTCCATCTCGACATCGTCGGTCCTCTTCCGTCATCGCAAGGAGCCTGTTACCTGCTGACATTTGTGGATCGCTTCACCAGGTGGCCGGAAGCGTTTCCCATTTCCGACATTACAGAACCAACAGTTGCCAAGGCTTTCACGAACGGCTGGGTGTCGCGCTTTGGATGCCCTTCTGTCGTCACCACTGATCGCGGTCGTCAGTTTCAATCGGCCCTTTTCACCGCACTTGCCAATATCCTGGGCATTCGACACATCCACACAACTGCCTACCACCCTTCCGCCAATGGCATAGTCGAACGGCTTCATCGACAACTGAAAGCTGCCCTCACTGCTCACCAGCCAAGGGAACGATGGCTCGACCACCTCCCCTTCGTACTTTTGGGCATCCGATCAGCAATGAAAGTGGATCTCGGCTGCTCATCAGCCGAACTAGTCTATGGCGTTTCCCTGCGTCTTCCAGGAGAATTCTTCGAGCCATCATTGCCACCTTCCACTCACGATGCCTCCACGTACATTAGAGAGCTGCACACCACGTTTCGGGACCTTGCTCCTGTGATTCCTGCCGACCGACACCCCCAGTCTGTCCTCGTCAGTCAGGATCTGCATGACTACAGTCACGTCATTCGTTCGGCGTGACCAAATACTGGCCACACTAACCAGCCTATGATGGCCCATTCCGCGTACTCCATCGTACACCTAAGACGTTCACGCTGGACATCAATGGCCGTGAAGACGTCGTGGCTGCTGATCGACTGAAACCGGCGTATATCGCCGCTCTCGCGGCCGCGGGGTTTCAATCTAAAGTATGGATGCCAACAGCCAAGCATGTCCACTGGGCGACTCCTCTGGTGATTCCTACGGCTCTCGCTCTACGGGGGGGGGGGGGGAGCCCTGTAGCGCCTCAATGCGCCGCTCGTCAAGGAAGAATAAGTTGGCATTTAGGCCGCGCGGCGGGTGCAGCGCGATAATAAAAAAAATCAGTTCGAAAACTGAACGCTGTCAGGGCTGGATATTTCCCGTGTTAGCTCCGACAGTTATTATGGTGAACTTCCGTCTAACGCTTTCTTACTGTGTCTGTGTTCTCCAAATATTCTGACGTAATGTATCTTGCTTTATATAATGACACACAAGTGTGAATGACGCATACGGTGCCTATTATAAATCAGTCCTGCTGTAGCGCACAAAAAGAAGGGCGTTCTCGAATGCGGAAGTTTGGCAACCGCCCGTTTTTAGTGCAAAGCTACCAAAGGAAACCCATCCAGGTTTCTTCAGAAGGAAGGTATTCAGCTGCCGAAGAAAATTTTTACCCGCCTTGAGGGATTTCTCAAAACACATTTGTCTCATTTGGTGTTTATGCACTTCGATTAATTAATTTGGTTATAACCTTACTAGTAGTCAAAGCCCTCTTGCGATTTCTGAGTACTAAGAGTTTTTGTGAACGCTTTTGACTTTTGCATAGTACTGCCACCGCATACATGTCAGTCTATGTACTGACAACTTTTTCTTCTTTTCCTTCTATTTCCTCTTTCTCTCTCTCTCTCATCTTTATACTTTCCTTTATCATTGCTTCAGGGTACGGTAGCAAACCATGCATGTGCCTGGCTAACCTCCCTGCCGTTTCTCCTGATGTTCTTCCTTTCCTGCCTAAATAAGTGTTAGAGTAAGTGCTCTGGAAAATCGGTGGCCATGAGTTTCAAGCTCTGGTGGGGCTGAGTTAACACATTCCTGAAAGTGCGCGTGCAGTGCCTTCATAATTTTTGAGTTGCAAAGAGCTGACGAACCCTTTAGTTTTCGTTGCACAAAGAGCAATAGAATCTCGAAAAAAGAACAAAGAACCTCGAAACCACTGTTAGGTACAAAGTTTTGAGCAACCCCGCTGCGGTACGCTCAAAACCAAGATCCTCATAACTCAGTGTTTTTAATATGCAATCAAAGGCGCATTAAGCATGGCAGATTAGCATAACGCTTCTGTATCTTCCACAGTGAGTATATTACAAAAGTTCAGCATGATGGCAGACTCGATAACTGAAATCTCAGCACACCTCCTATCACGCATCTCTTGTGTCTGCGTTGCTATAAACTTACCCAACTGACAATTTTCAATTATTCTTGATGCTTACTATGCGGGTTCTTTGTGCAGCTGTTTGACCGAGTCTACCGGCCGTACCTGAACATGGATGGCTTCACCATGTACCCAGTGCTGCTGCGGCCTAAGTCACGAGGCTGGATCCGGCTCCGATCCACCAATCCGGACGACTACCCGCTCATTAATCCCAGATACCTGACACACATTGAAGACGTCCTCGTTCTAGTCGAAGGTATGTGTGCCCCCAATAGGAACAAGATACCAGAAACAGGTGGCAAGGGTCTGTAACCAGTGAGGGTCGTTTATTTGCTAACTAAATCAGAGAATTGAACTTTCACCGACCGGAGAATGCAGTCAGATCATATCTCAGATGCATTGAGTAGAGCGGTAGGGGGGGGGGGGGGTAAATTAGACGTGCTCATGGATTGCTTTCCTAATCAGAGATGGGTAAGGAAAATTAGAATTAATAAGTGAGAGAACATTAGGGTATCTATATTTCAAGTGTTTTTTAAGGAATTTTATCCAAAAGCATACATTTCCACTAAATTTATTGATTGAGGTCGGCACAGAGTGTGCTTTCTGAGGTTGACTAGGTTTGTAGAGCCGTGTGCGCTGTGAACCGGGACACTGAAATTACCTCTTAAAGGTCACACCTGCTAGATGCAGTTGCCAAGTGCGAGATTTTTTATCACAGTGATAATTATTTTGACGTGTCCAAAAAGACAACTCCGCAAACAACATGGCAATATGCTCGAATGTTTCAAAGAACGAGGACAAGCCCAGAAATTTAAATGTGAAGGTCTTGTGGAAGAGAAAACTTTAAGTCTGTGGATTTTTCTCTGACATTTATTGAATACCACATCTTCTGGGAGTTTGCCCAGAGGTCTCAAAAGCCCGCGTTCAGCTATTCCTCCAGCCACATTAAAGTTGTTTATTCCGGCATCGCTGTTGACATCATTTTTTTCTGCCATAAGAAAATCTTGGGCTTACTAAATGTCCTCCAGCTTCATGTCTCAAATTCAGGCGTTTAAATGCGCAGCTTTACCCCTTGATGCCTTTCTCAAGGGGTAAAGCATCAATAAACGTGTTCAACAGAGTTGATAATGTTAAAGCTGAACCATGTAATGCCGAATCAGGTAACAGAGGCTAGAGGTGATTCCGTGTATAATGGTATTTCCCACCGTGTAAAAAAGAACTCCGTACACCTGGCTTATCGCACGCTGTCGATTATCAGCCGCCTACGTCCGACGGAGACGGTACACGCAGCTGCGGTGCCGAAAGCCCCTAGTTTTCTCCTCTCATAGCGAAGTACCGACAACTGCCTCCTCTACCGGCCCTCTCTCACGCACAGTTGGCGTCTGCAGGCGACTTTCTTTTTAACTTGGAAGACTTACTAAGCCACGTACATATATATAAGTACATTAGCTACGCATCTGTCAGCGGGACAACTAGCTATGTAACGCGACGCGCCTTTATTCTCCGATCAGCGCCCCGTCGTTAGTGAGTGGGAGACGCGTTTCACCAGGGGCTGTAAAAGCGTTATGAAAAACATGGCTACTGAAAAAAAAACATCGGCCCCCTATCTGCTATTAATCTGCAAATGTCGTCGAAAGACAATCACCTTGCGTGTGAAGAGAGGGAACAAGACATTCAATTGATGTTCTGCGCAAGAAAATCGGTGAATGGTGAATCGGCCCTGCGTCAGAGTTCCTCGAGCGTGCAGTGGAGGCATGGATGGATGGATGCTATGAGCGTCCCCTTTATAACGGGGTGGTGACAAGTATGCCACCAGGCACGACAAAAAAAAAAAAAACCTTTTTTCTTTTTTTTTATGTTGGCCTAATGCCTCTACTTCGATAAATTCTATCTTAATGGAAAAAAAGGTAAATTTTCAGCTTGAGTTCTCTGCCATGTACGGCACACTGTCCATATTTTATTTTTCCAATATTTATTTTTGTCCTTTCTCTCTAATTTTCTGCCACCAATACTCTAACCGTCTCTTACTTATTTCAATCGCGGGTGTGTTCAGCTTTCCATTGTTGTCCCTAAAACCCAAGGCTTCCTGTAGGCTCGTGCCCAAACGTACACCTGGGTGGATATCTCCACATTCAATCAGAACATGCTCCGCCGTTTCCTTATCTTTCCCGCAGCATGTGCATTGTTCTTCTTCTTTACTGAATCTTGCTTTATAACTACGCGTTCTAAGGCAACCCGATCTCGCTTCAAACATAAAGCGCTTCCCCTTGAATTATCGTAAAATGCCTCCCTCCTTATTTCATTTTTGCCCTTTCGGTAGTTACTCAAAGCCGGTTTTTTCTCCATAGCTGCCATCCAGTAAATCCTCTCCGCCTCCCTGACTTTTCCCTTAACGCTCTTTGTTGACATATGGCTTACAATACCAGCCGTATATTTACTAGTGAGTCTTCTAGTTCTTTTTCTCCACTGTGTGTCCACGCTCTTCCTATACAAATAACGGAACACCTTCTCTGCCCATCTACTCTCCTTCATATTTCTTAGCCTTTCTTCGAACCTTATTTTGCTCTGCGCTTCCCTCGCCTCAAAACCTGCCCACCCCATATCGCCCTTTACAGCCTCGTTTGTCGTCTTCCCGTGAGCACCCAACGCGAGGCGTCCCACAGTCCTTTGATTTACATCCATTCCCGATTGCACCTCTGCCCTCATGCACACCACTGAGTTCCCAAAAGTAAGCCCTGGAACCATTACACCCTTCCACAGACCTCGAAGCACCTCATACCTATTGTATCCCCACAACGCTCTGTGTTTCATTATTGCCGCATTCCTCTTTCCTTTTGCTGCCGAGGCTTTTTCCTGTACCTCCATGTATCTATCACTCTCATTTACCCATACTCCAAGGTACTTGTATTCACTTACCCTCGGTATTTCTTGGCCTTGTATGGACACCGTCTGATCACAGGGATCATTGAATACCATCAATCCACACTTCGTTACACTGAATCCTAGTCCAAGAGCTTCACCTTCCCTTCCGCATATATTCGCCAGCTGCTGTATATCATCTCGACTGTCCGCAAATAAGACGATATCGTCCGCATAAAATAAACCTGGAAGCTTCTGCTCAATCATCATGCCGCCCTGTTTGTGTGACAGATTAAAACCAATGTTGCTACCTTCCAGCGCTTTTTCCATACTCACCATGTACAGCATCAATAACAGCGGGGACAAAGGACATCCCTGTCTCAGACCCCTGCTAACCTCAACGTTCTCTTTGCTACGCATTCCTTCCCACTCTATGCAAACTGTATTTTCTCGGTATATCTCCCTCAAAAGCTGTATACAGTCGTCGCCCATGCCCATTCCTTTCAATATATCCCACAAAATTTCCTGATTAACGTTGTCGTATGCCCCAGTGATGTCTAGAAAAGCCACGTACAAGGGCCTATTCTCTATTTTAGATATTTCTATACACTGAGTGAGAACAAACAGGTTATCGTCTAACCGCCTGTCGACTCGAAATCCGTTCTGAAGTTCTCCCAAAATATCGTTATGTTCGGCCCATGTTTCTATTTTCATTTTTACTGCTTGCATCGCCAACCTGTATAGTACCGATGTAATGGTTAGTGGTCTATACGAGCGAATCTTGTCCTTTTCTCCCTTGCCTTTATAGATTAAGTTCATTCTACTTTGTCGCCAACTGTCCGGTATTTGTCCGTCCTTTAAGCTTTTTTCTACTGCTTTTAACAATGCTTCTTTAGTGTTATGTCCTAGTTCGTTAATGAGGCTAACGGGAATCCCATCTAAACCCGCGGCAGTGCGCTTTGGAATTTTTCCTTCGGCCTTTTTCCAGTTGAAATTATCAAGTACTAGCTCTTCCTCTGTTGCTTTCTCCGCCACACTTTTACTCACCGGGGAGATCCCCTGGACGCTCTTTTGAAACGAGTCGGCTGTTACCTTTTGGATGTAACCTAGCGCTTCGTACCCTTCCAATTGATTTCCTCCTTCATCTAGAATATGTTGTTGCGTTGTGACAGACTTCCTACCTAGCGCCTTTATGTGGCTCCAAAAAATCCTAGGCGCGGCCTCCTTTTTTTCGTGTATCTCTGTCATCCAGCGTTCACTTTCACCTTTAATTTTTGCCTCTACCAATTTCTGTACAAGGGATTTTTTCTCTAAATATATTTCCCATATTTTTTTGACTTCGCCTGCGGCCGCTTCTCCTTTTTTGCCTTTCTATGCTCCCGTGATGCTTCGCGTCGCTTCTCGATCGCCTCCCGGATTTCCTTGTTCCACCAACTTTTTGGCTTCCTTTTTCCTTTCCAGCAAACAGTTTTCTTCTCTTTCCCTATCTCCTTCGTCATTAGATGTAACAGCTCACTATACTCCCAGTCCTTGCCTGGTATTTCGCCTACTTCTTCCTCGACTCTTGCGGCTATATTTATTATTTGTTTGTCATTTAAATACGAGCTGCCAGACTTTGATTCCATGTTCATATTTTCAGTTTCGTATCCCATTTGTAATGTTATTCGTTTATGATCACTACCCAAGCTGTTAATGCCTTCCTCGTCTATCCTCATTTCTGTCAGTTTGTGGTAAATTCCTTCAGTCATGAGACAATAATCAATACTTGATTGCTTGTTTCCGACTTCCCATGTGATCTGGCCGTCACATTTAGGCCCCGTGTTAACTATCTCCAGACTATGTTGCTCGCAAAGATCTAGTAATAACTTCCCATTGGTGTCTGAATATCCGTCAAGGTCATGTATGTGGGCATTCATGTCCCCTAGAAGGATGATTTCGGCCCCATTACCAAATTCCTTAATATCCGCACTCATGCAATCCACTATCTCCTGATTCTTTTCTCTGCAGTTATTCCCCGTCCACAAGTAGGCTACCCCTAGCCACGTTTCCTTTCCACCTACTGTGCCCAGAACCCAGAGGTGCTCTGAACACGTCTGTTTCACTCTAACCCATTTGGCTCCGCGGTGAATTAGCATTCCTACACCCCCACCTTTCCTTTCCGATATGGTCCTGTTACACCCTTCCCAAACATAATTTTTAATATGTGGTGGCTCTTCCAGGTCTCTAAGGTGTGTTTCTGTAACCGCATACACGCCTATCTGTTCTTTGTTTAACTGCTCCTCAATCTCTAACCATTTTGCCTTCTTTCTGCCACCCTGCATGTTTATGTAACTAATTGCAACACGCGCCTTTTTCCTTTTTCTTTTACCTTTTTTCTGGTTTTTCGCAATTCTACCTGTCAAAGCGTCCTCCTGGTTGTTTTCCCTGTTACGAGCTACCCCGTACTCCGAAGGGCCCGTGAGCCCCCCAAAAAAGCTACTGCGCGTCCTGCCAGTCGCCAGCCCACCTCGTGTCCAAGCCTCTTATCGAAATGAATCTTGTCTCTTTGGAATCCACCCCACCTGTGCACTTCCCTGTTTAAATCCACTACCTCGAAACCCTTCTCTCGACTAATTCGCCATATCTCTTTGTTTGCGTCGACAACCGCTCTTTGCAGGTTGACGTTGCGTACTGGTACTTCTGGTACTGTGCATACTACAATTTGCACCTGGGGGGACACGGTGCGCATGTCATCCACCCCTTTCGCCAAGGTCGTCGCTAGTCCTGACGATTCTTTTTTCAGGACGTCATTTAACCCTCCCGCAATTACAACGAGGTTACGATTGTTAGCTTTAGCTGCGAGTTGTTCACCCGCTTGACTCATTACTGTCCCCAGCGTTTGTCTTGGGAACGTCCCTATCGCAACTCTCTTGTCGCCTTTCACCCTTTCTTTGATTGCCGCTGCGCATCGGACTAAATTTGAGTCACCGGCGATGATGACCTGTTCAGACATTCCTTCTGAAACCTGCACCTGGCTGCTGACTAGGTGACTAGCGTGAGTCACGGCTGCTGGTTTGCTCCCTCCCTCCCTCAAAACTACTTCCCGGTAGCTGGGCCCTGTGTCCAATGTATCTGCCTTTGTCATGCCTGTTTCCTTCATCTCTCCCGCACGGGGGGTCGTCGCCATAATGCTTCCGCCGTCACCTGCGTCTGCGTTCCCTTTCACGACCTTCGATAGGCCCTTCTCGGCTGCCCGGAGCCTTTCTTCCATGGCTGACGTTTTCTCTCGCTCCTTCGCCAATGCATTCTCCAGCTCTGCGATTTTCTCCATGAGCCCACTCTGGACCGCCATCATATTTTTCATTTTCTCCTCGAACTCGCACTGTCTACACTTGGCGTCATCTTCTGCTTTCTCCTCCGCACTAATTTCCACCTTCCACCCTACCCCGCACTCTGAACACTTTACGGTCTTTTTGACCATGGCTAGCTCAGTTTACCGATGCCCACGTGTTAGAAAACTGTACTAAAATACACTGGTCTAAGCCAAAAAGAACCACAATAATAAATAAATACGCTACACTTCACAGCAACTGCGCATGCACGTGGTCGGTCTACGCGCAGGCCTCAGCCACGTGGTGGCTGGAGAAAAAGAAGACACAGTACAAAATACTAAAAAAAAAACGTACACCGTACTAGACCTAATCAAGCTTTACGCTAGCGCCTTACGTTCTCATAACGCTACATACAGAGGCAAGCTGGAAACATGCAAAAACACTTATCTGTAGCTGTCATTCCGGAGCTCTCCAAAAACACGTCCGACCTCTACCACTGCGCCGACCACCACTGCCATGTGAGACATGAGCGCCATCTGGCATTTTTTTAGAAAACAAAGCGCGTGGCTCTGAGACAGGTGTACGCGCCCATATCAGAGGTGATAAAGTGTAGAACGCAAGGCGACGGGTATATGCCACTACCGTCTCGTCTTAGCAAAGCGTGGGAAACACTCGCCTTTCCGTGCAAGCGTTGCATGGTCAGCGCAGCGTGATACACGCTACGGTCCTTATAATTACTTATGTATGCCTTTTCTAGTAAAAAAACTCACATAAAGAATATTGACGTGTTGTTATGGTGCCTCAGATATGCGCAATAATTGCTTTTTAATTGACAATAGCACAAATATGAACGCTGAATCTTGAGCACTATTGGTGGGCGCTGTGGATGGGGTCGGGCGTTTGGAGCATCGTTTGGTCACTTTGGTGCCGCGTAAGCTACCGTTAAGGGTGGACAAACAGGCAAATGTGCAGACAGACAGAAAGGCAGACAGACAGACCAAAATTTTTCCGTCGAAGCTCCCCAAGAAAGACTATGGTCCTCAAAAAAAGTTTAAAAAGATGTAAAAACGTTTTTGAAAAAGTTTTAAAAAGTTAACAAAGACTATTGTCTTTAAAAATGAATAAGTTGTCTGCGGGTGTGATTACAACGACTAGGAGAATGTGCGCAGTCAAACACCACTAACAAAATTAATGCTGATAGATTCTATTATGTTGTCATGACGGTAGGCTTACGTGGGACAAACGGGGCCTTGCTTGAAATATCCTCTGCGCAAGCACCACGGTTTTTTAAAGGATGCGCCGTACTCCCGTTTGTCTGCGTGCACTGTGTCGCCTGTGATTGGACCCCGGAGCTCTGCTGAACGAACACCGCTTTTGAACACAGTCATTCTCGCATAAGAGAGCTAGCTGAAGCTTTCGCTATCTGCGAAAATGGTGACGTGTCTGTTAGCAGACCTAGCGTTGCCCTATTGGGAAAATACTTACTTTGATTATACGTATTGATGTTACAAGCCTGTAGTATTTGTCATGCGCATATATGCCGTGCGTGCATGTCTTGTTCTTCCTTCTTTCTTTTCTTTTTTCTGTTACATTTGAATAAAACACTCACTTGTCAGTGAAGACTAGTGTTGTCAAGTCTTCTTCTGTGTTGGCCTTTAGCGCTATTATTTCCAAATAAACACTGCCAATGCTAGGAGAGAATTGGTTTTCATGCAGTCTCTAAGCGCGAACCGGTACGGTAAGAGCCCATCACGTGGAATTTTATACGAGCAGTTTGGTGAAGCCTGACGAGATAACGCGTGCGCCAGGACTCCGAACCGTGTCTTTGTGGTCAAAGTTCACATTTGCAGCTCGAGCAGCGTTGCACCCTCCCCATTCACCGGTGGCCATGCCCCTTCGCCAAAGGACAGATGCGCTGCCTTCAGTTTGCTTGAGGATTGATAGACGACAAATCTCGCGCATGGCAATTTGCTATCGCACGCACACTCCGCGCGCGCTCTGTAAACCAGTTTGCACCCTAAAGGGCTATTTGTCGTGTCCATAACTAACACTCTACGGTGAGGGTGTTTTGGTTTGTCAAAACACCCTTATCGTTGGGTGTTAGTGATAAACACAGCAAGAAACTTTTAAGGGTGCAAACTGACTTACTGTGTAAGACGAGAAAGGCCCGCTCATTTCATCTCTCCTTCAACCGCATTCGTAGCACCCGCTCACACGCTTTTTTGCGCGAGTAGAACATGCGATGAGGGTGGCGAAACCAGATAGCAGCGGTAACAACCTGCCCAGGGTCCCCATAAACTTCTGTCGCAAGAAAATATTAAAATGTAGTACAGGCAAGCATTGAACCAAGAGACGAAACATTTCTTTTTAACGCCGTTTTTTTTTTTGTGGTGCCAGGCATGAAGCAGCTGATAGCGCTGGCCTACTCGGAGCCGTTTCGAAAGTACGATGCTCGCATCTTCGAGCTGGACTTCCCTGGCTGCGAACTGTACGCACAGTACTCAGACGAGCACCTGGCGTGCATTGCCCGTACGTACACGGCAACCATCTACCACCCGAGCGGGACGTGCCGCATGGGGCGCCCGGAGCTACCCACAACGGTTGTTGACCCGCAGCTCAGGTAGGAACGGGAACCTCACAAAGTTTAATTGTTCTGTCACGTCATGGTAATGCTGCATTTCAACAGCCGCTAGACCACTGCGACTTTTTTGTAGAGATAAAGGCCTCGTTGTCTCCTTTGCTTCGCTCCCTTCGGGTGCCTTATCGTTCTGTACGCTTATTTTTTACAGGAATACTAATTTTTACACATTATGTTACAACTACTCAGTAAAGCGTTTCTGTCAAACTCCTATTTATACTATTCAGTGTTAATACCAGGAAAAACATGATCGCCACTCTTGCCGGGTGAAACTTCAGGACTAGAATACAGTTGCATCATTTGAAGCTGTTAATTTATTCTCGTAATAAAATTGCATATTGAGAGCATAAATTAGGGCCTATATATTTCTTTCTTGTGCTCTTTTCCACAGAGTCAAAGGTGTTCAGGGCCTGCGCGTCGTGGATGCGTCCATTTTTCCGGAGATTCCATCGGGCAACACCAACGCCCCCGTCATCATGGTAGCCGAAAAAGCGTCCGACATGATACGACGGTCCCGACGGGCTGCTTGGGGCACTAACTATTTCAATTGGTGGCACTGGGCACGTAAAAGATGATGGCCCGAAATGGTTCGATGTACAAACGCAGGAAGAGACTCAATCGTCTGTAACCATCCGCCAGTCAACCTTTTTCGTTCGTTTATTGTTTGGACCTTGTGCCGAACCTAATAGTTTGTTCAGAATGGCCAGATCTCTCTCTTCCAGGAGGAATGTTTCAAGGACGCAACCCACACACAATGAAAAAAAAAGAATGACGACAGGATAGTGTTTACCTCTTTGGTACCTTAGTGGTTGCGTAGTACGTAATGAGAAACTTACCTAGGCCCCTTTATTGGCGTGAGTATTTAAGCTCAAGCATTAAAGAAGGTGAAATAGTTCTAGGGGTGAACAATCAATTGAATTAAATGACACTCAAGTCTAGGGAAGCCTCCGCATGACGCAACAAGTACACGACCATCAAGGACGCTATTTTGGTTGCTTCAATACTGAGTTGCATACCTGTTGGTCAACAAAACGTTTACAACAAGTATTGTTTTTCTTTAACATGATAAACAATAGCTAGCGAATTTCGCGAGAGACAAGCACCAAAAGAAGGCAGCTCGTTGAAGTGAAATTCTCTTTCATGCCGTCCACTTGTAAAAAATCATACTGAAGATCCTGGCTGATGGTTGATGAATCACAGGTACAAGATAAGTTGCGCATATTTTGTGAACTAAGCTTTTTTAACGTGATTTTGTAAGTATATGTTCCTAGTGTTTCGAATTCCAATTTATTCGTGAAGGAACGTGTGGTGGTGTTTGTTGAAAGGAAGCAGGAAAAAACTGCGTTGAGTACTTAGTGAAAACGACATAATGCGATGCTACCGGGGTAAATATAGTTGCTAACTTCTGTAAAAATCAGGTGGAAAGCCTGCCTAATTTTATCGGCACCTATGTGTCATCCTGACATTCTGTATCATAGCGCAAACTTTGTATGTATGTGCACTAGGCTATATCATGCAATTTTCTATAGCCCGAGCAGTCGATAAACGCATGGTTACTTCGAAGTTGGAGGAGAACTGAGATCACTAGACAAACTACGTTATCAAAAAATGCGAGATGTTGCTTGTTTCACCAGCGGCATCTTCCGCAACGAGAGTTGTTTATGTACACAAAAAGTTAGAGAAAAGAGTGTGACAACCTTTCCGTAGAACTTTTCAAGAATTCAAGCCCCTTCGTGTCTATTGCTATCGCAAAATGAAATGTTGCAAATGTTAGTCAATTTTCTTTTTTTTTTGCTTAAGTGGTACCGCCAAACGCAGCGAGAGTCATTTTCTAAAAGTGGGGAAAGTTTCGGGCTCCACGCACACTTTTTCCACCCAAACTATTTCACTAATCACACCGCGGAGAGAAAAATGTACCACAGCAAGGTCGGCTGGCTCGCTTGGCTGCATGCTAGATTTTCGGGACGATTATTGATACCCATTGTGTGAAGCTGACGGCAACCATTCTCTCAAAGCACTTTCGTATAGTCCGTTATTTGTTGGAGTTTAAATGCAGTACAATTATGCAGGTCGTAGCTAGCACATCAATGGTGTGACATTGTGTGTATACAGAAGGTGATGAAGAGGACTCGCCTGCCCACGGTGATTACTTTCCTCTATTTCAATCGATCAGTGTAAAGGCACTCAGAAATACTCACGTCTCGTCTCATTTTACGAAACAATATTATTGAAACTGTTCGGTATAGTTCTTTAAGAAAAGCTAAAACACTTCCGTCCAAAAAGATTCCGGTGGGGAGAGAGCGGAGGCCAGGGCAAATGTATGTACAGTGCAATCCCTTTTCTGTTTTCAGTTTTGCACTTTATTTGCAATCATGGGATCGCCCTTACCTTGTTCTGTGGAGATCACAGTGCCGTCAAATGACGAAGTGAAGACTGCGGTGGTATATGTGGCATTTCATCATTCCTATAATTAGATTTCTCGGTAGTTGATGAAGTGAATGACGAGAACAATGGCGTCCCACACAAAGACTTGAGTCGTCGAGATTTCAATGTTGTAGTGTGACGCTGGGAGTAGGTGAAGTCAAGCAGAACTATCTAGAAAACTCCAGTTCACTTTTTCAAGAGTATTTATCTGCGAAAGCAGCTACGAATAATGTCACATTTAACACAAGCGATGGATTAGCCTGAACGCACGTTGTTTTGAAGAGAAAAGAATTTTTGTGCCTCGATTCACTAAAATGAAGTCACAGCTGCACTTGAACCAATAGCTGGCAGTTCATTTAAGCTTTTCAAATTATTGAACAGAAAGTTTCGCGTATGTTTTCTAAACGCTGTCACACTGTTGATGTACCGCGATCCAGACAAATGAATTAACAAACAGATTGATGGCACCAAGGAACGTGTAAAAGATAGGATGTGTGAATAATAGGGGACTCAGATGTGAAGATTTTGCGTGCACGAGCAACAGCTCACGGTTGATTTGATTCTGCGATTGTAACACACTAACGTGATTGTGTAAATACTGTTGATCTTATGCGTTAGAATAAAAAAGTTGTTGGCAAACGTCTGTCACTGAATTCTTCTTTTAGACCCTGACTTTTCACCCCTGTACATTGCTTTTCATTAAAGTGTGTCTGCTAAAAGTGCATGACATGGTGCAGGCTAACATGATATATGACGTTACCACGTACCAACCATTTTTTCTTCACGTGATTTAGTCTTTCTTTCAAGGTGAAAACTTTAGCGCGAACCCAGACGGACCAAAAGGAAGAAATGACACAAGCGCTGAAAGCCATTTACCATCAGCGTACAACCGGAGTACTTTCAAGGGTCTTTTTAACGGCGGTAAAACATTTGTGGCCCGCGCAACTTTCATTTTATTTGAATCTTTCCGTTGAAGTCTCAATCGCACTTGCTTCTGCACGCTGCAATTGATATTTGGCTACTTTATGTCTCTCTGCGCTGTTAAGCGTAGAAGGCCGATGGTAAGTACGGCGGGTTTCTTCATGGTAGCTGGCTCCCCGCCATCGTCCACATAGCTGATCTTCGCCAGTGGGGGGACGCGTTAAGAGAGATAGAACGAATGTTTATCTACATGATATGGTTGAAAGATTGAACTCCACAGAGATTCCACTATGTACAGAGGCTCAGTTCAAAACTTCAGCTGATGTTTCTGCTCCTGATTCAGCTCCTCCAGGGAGATGTCCGCTGACCCGAACGTCAGCAGTGGTCCATGGCTGCTTTCAGCTTCAAGCTTCCAGAACTCTCTCGACCATGGCAGTCCAAACGCTCGATCCCTGAGAACGGCTTCTTCGACGTCTTCCCACGCTTCTGGACTGACGGTGCTTAGCGATGGCTTCGCGTAGATGGCGATAGCCGAGTCGAAAGGTTGACCTAATGAGACCAGCCACAGTGGCGCCGTCCCACACTGTTCAAGCCGGTTCAATAAAAGGTTTGTCTCGCGAAACTTTCGTTCAGACCCGATCACTGCCTGGAACCTCTACAGGACAGCGTCTTGCAGACTGGGCGCCGATGGTGTCGCAAGAAACCTAGCAGACCACCTTACGCACAATGAAGTCTGCCCAGATGAACTGCCGGGCCAAACGTAACAGCGCTCAACAATGACATCACCGAGCCGGAAAGGATGCGGATACAGGTGTCTTGTCATTACAAGTCACAGCACAACGTGACCACAACCTGCGGTGTTTGCTTCGAGCTGCGAATCCAGAGTTACCCTAGTGCCAGTGAACAGAGAAGCTCTATTTGCTATGCACTATAGCAGCGCGTGCCTGCTAAAAATCCTGCACAAACAGCAAATTTGGCCTGCTATTATTTGGGCCAGGTGTGTGGACAACACACTAGCAAACGTCTTCAAGCATTGCAAAATGGCGCCCACTGGTAGCTGGCTTAGGTTTGCCGATTAAAACTGCACTCTGTCGTCAAATTTAGTGACCGTCTCAGAAGCCGTTAAAGATTTTATCACTCCATGCTGGTTATAATGGCGACGACCAAGTGGTTCCAGGTTTGAGTACATGCGCGTTGTGAGGAACTTTTCTTCTAGCGTCAGTATATTGACTATATCAGAACGGCATCATCCCTGCTTAACGTTGCACAGCTTGAGGTATATGTTTGAAAAATCGATCTAATGCGAAGCGATCGGTTGAGTTGCGCTTGCGCTGATCTTTGTATAATTCATTTAACCACGTTTTTTGCTCCGAGATGGGATGATGTGCGTGATACGATTGTGTTTTGTACACGGGAGTTGCATGCAACTGGTGCTAGTGTAAGCAAGGACACCAGTAAACGTGGGCTACAAAACGCAAAGTTAGCCACAAGGCAATACAATAGGGACGTATTCGAAGCTCTGGGTGGTCATTGAAAGGAGTTGCATAGCCAGTTGATAGTGGCAGTTACCAAGCTCTTGGTGAAGACAGCAGCAAATGTGATCTCCCGAACGCCATCTAAATTGTTTTTATTACATTATGTTTCGCCTGCTCACTGAGAACACGCCCTAGCATAGATGAGTATGGTCGAGCGTATTTGAAGACAGTTATAGAATAATACAGTTACAGAAAAAATGTGTAACGTGACATATCTCTTTCTAAACATCAAATATGTTTCTGCCACTAATTGTTACTTTAATTCATACCTTGTAGCCTTTTTCTGCTAAATAAAAGTATATTGAGAAAGGGATTGTTCAGAGCTTTCAGTTTAGAGTTTTTATTTATTTTCGCGGAATAGGTAAGATAAACTAGCTTACAAGATTTTATGAGCACTTTAGTACCATTTGGTTGACACTTAGGATATAAATAATCGAAGAAGTGAAATATCGCGTTGATGAAGATGTTTTAAATGCATTAGTGAAATAGCTAGCACGTTATTTTTTAGAAAGTGGATCCTAATGCAGATCTGCTCCGCATATTGACGTCGTTTGAAAAAGTTATATATTTTATCCTCACATTAGTTGGCACTTAACTATGGGACATGCAGTTACTCACATATTCAAAAATGCAGGCAGCAGCCCCTGAACGTAGACAGCACACGTGTGTCCCGTAAAGTTCGAAGCAAAGATAAGTTTGTAAGGTTGTCTCGTGCATTCTTAATTTTTGTTTATGGCTCGTAGACAGCCACAGCCTCCTCATGAACACTCACGGGTGTTTTCTTGTTCACTGGCAGTGGCTTTATGTGGTTGATCTATTCGCTGTCTCCGTTAACGCGTGCGCGCGGATTCCGTTCCCTT